GACCTTCCTAAATTTGAAGAATACTGTAATAATTAGAGATTGACAAACTGACTAGACTTATACAATTACCAGATCCTTCCAAATTTGAAGAAGAGTGGCAGCCTTTTACTGACTATTTAAAAGAAGGAAACTGAAAATATTGGGTTTTCTATAGTAGTTCAGAGATGTAGGTATAATAAGAAAAGAAAAAATAGAGTAGTTGGTGATAAGAATAACAGGATCCCCAATGATAACCAAGGGATCATGAAAAGTTAATTTACCAGGGATAAGAAGTTTTGTGACAAAAGGAATAGATTTCTTGATTATGAAGAAGACAGCAGAGACAGAATAGGAGGCATTAATTAGGGCTTTCTATTTTCAATTTCTCAACTTTTCTACTTCCTTTGTTACAAAACACTGTACCCCCGCTTTTCTATCCTTCTGTTTTAGATTAGAAAATAAATGTTTTTCTCTCTTTTTCCCCCTATTTTATTTTTTAACATCATAGAAACCTTTTCTTGTATTAGATAACAATGGAAGAAGGCAAAGATGTAAGATGTTAAAAATGCCCCTGTTTTATATCCACTCTTGTACCCTTCCCCATTCCTCATATATTTGCAACAAAAATTATATTAAAAAATGTAAACAGAGGACAAGTTTGGAGGTCAGGGAAAGAAAAATTGTGATATTTTAAATATAGTTGGGAAAGTAGGGATAGGAATTATTAATTGGGATGGCCCCTGCCAGATTAAAACAGTGGAGGGTGTGCAATATTATTATTTATTATTAACTTTATTTGTACCCTGCTACCATCTCCCCAAGGGACTCGGTGCAGCCTTTCACCAAAATAATTTGATGTTGCAGCTGTGCAAAAATTTTGCATGTTAAGGAGAAGAGGCAGAAGATTTCAGCCTTTCAAAACACCTACTCTCTGACCTCAAAGCAGCCATTGTGGGGTACCAAATACATTTTAAGAGGACAATCACTGTGCCAAAATACACTTCTTTAAATTGTCACAGGACTCCATCTCAAATGAAAAACAGTCAAACTGGAGCCCCTTCACTGTTTTATGATCTGATGAAATTGCACAGGAGGGATGATGGAAAAACAGCAACCAGCAGCTGGTAGGAGAGAACGTAACATAGAAAGCACAATGGCATGTGTGTTCTGTGTCCATGTGTTTTCTCTTTTTTATAGGAGCGATTGGTCAGAACACAAGAACAGTAATTATAGAAAAACCACAGAATGAACACTGGAGTCGATGACAAAACTCCTTTATTTCACATATTACTAGTTGTCACCATTTGTCTCCTGGTGGCAGATTTTTCATTGACTACTTCAAATGTAATATTTGGTTGCCTTCCTCAGCCTGGCAGTTTTCAGATCCCTTGGATTACAAATCCAATAATCTGTTTGACAGATGGAGTGATGGGAACTGTGGTCCAATATGTTTGGAAATTGCCAGAATGTGAAAAGGCAATTAAAAACTTACTAAATATTATTTGTTCTACAGATCTAACAATCTGTTCAATTCAAGTTGATCACTGAGCTGCATTTTGTTCCCTTCTTTCCACTTCCACCAATGTACATCCTGTTCAGTCACCCCTCAGATGCCCTGGATAGTTTGCTTGAAATTATAAAAGGTGACTGAATTAGGATATAACTGATCCAGCATCCTAGTGTTGTGCTGTAGTAATAATAAATGACCAGAAAGACATGTTGGCGAATTAAGAAGGAGGATTCTTAAATCAGAATATGTTTTTTTAAATGAAAACAACAGACAAAGACACCTTTTTCTCCAAAATCACATGTGACATTTTATTCAGCATATAAGGCTCTTGGTATTTTAGAAATATAATATGAATAAAAGCTGTACATTGAGAATTTTTAGGAAATAATAGGCAGCTTTTTCTAAATCTGGCAGTGAATTTCCAGGTAAATGAGAAAGATGTATAGAAGATTGATAATGGCAATATATATTATGCATGCAGATCTTGTGCTATGAACTAAAACAGTCAAAAGCAAATCATAGACAGGCTTTCCATCCCAGGATCTTATCCCAGGTTTTCTGTTTATTCCAGATTATCTGGCAGTGTGGATTCATACAATCCAGTTTAAAGCACAAAAGTGGAATCAGGTCTTGGGATATAGGGCCTGTCTGGAAGGGCCCTAAGCAGAATTTAAACTAGACCCTCAGCTTTATTCACCACTCTAGCTTTTCAGTTCCCAGCCTTGACTGATTTTCTTTCAGTTCTAGTTTGGAAGGAGTACCATTTACACAACCTCTGCCCAAACTTTCAATTAGAAACTAACAGAATTAGCATGTTGAATAAACCTTTAACAATGAAGCGGGAAATGCCTAGTTTGAACCTCAGACTCTGCAGCATAAGGCACAGTGAATGAGAAAGCGATAAAACCTCATTAACCTTTTGGGCAACATGTTTTGTTATGTTAAGCTGTTTAATTGATGATGTTCTTCCCTTCCTCAAGCCGAATCAAAATTAAAATGTAACAAATAATGTGTAATGAATTATTTCTAAGCTCTGTATCAAAACAACAAAGCACTATTTGAAATTTTCAGCATCACAACTGAGAGTGGAGGAAAGGGGAGGGGAGGTTTGCATGGTTACTTGCTACATGGCATATATATGAAATCTGCTGGGAGATTTCTGAAATAGCCTGAAACAATCATGTCAACAGCTTTGAATTGACTTTCTAACAGATTCTGCCCTAATGCAATCAGAGCTTGGAAGCAACTTATTACAAATATGTCATTCTTTTCTCTTTCCAGTAACAAAAGGGTTGTTGTTGTCACTGTCATCACTGTTGTTGGCCACTATCTTGCATTATCAGATAGAAGCAATGATACCATAGCTCTGTCATCACAGCCATGTCTTCTGATTCAAATGACCAAACTAACTTGTAACAACTGTTTTTTGTCAGGAGAGAATGCCTCTAGACCATGGCCATATAGCCCGAAAAAACCTACAGCAACCCAGTGATTCCGTCCATGAAAGACTTCGACAATACATTGAACTGTTTTTGCACTGTACATTGCTGATAGAAGAAGCTGGACACATGACCATTCATTAGACTCTCTACTATGACATGGAACTTGGTTGGCTGGTGCTGTGGATGGTTTCAAGGGTGGGCAAGGGAGGACATCTATGGCTATTGCAATGGTGTAAATTGCAATATTTACAGTGTTAAGTGTTGTCTGTGACACTGTAACAGCTCAAGAAGATGTCAGCCATTACAATTTATCTATAACCCACCTTTTCCCTGGACCTGGGATTGAACACAGCTTGTATATTAAGGTAAAGGTTTTCCCTTGACATTAAGTCTAGTCGTGTCTGACTCTGGGGGGTGGTGCTCATCTCCATTCCTAAGATGAAGAACCAACGTTGTCTGTAGACACCTCCTATGTCATGTGGCCTGCATGACTGCATGGAGTGCCATTACCTTCCCACAGAAACGGTACCTATTAATCTACTCACAACTCCATGTTTTCAAAGTGCTAGGTTGGCAGAAACTGGACCTAAGAGCGGGAGCTCATCTTGCTCCCCGGATTCAATGTGTATATTATCAAGATATAAGTTTTGATTATGACTGAATTTAACAAGGGATATATGGGCTGGTTAAGTTAATTCTTGGTTGAGATGTTGCAAACCAGATTCATGACACCGCAGTTCACTTTTGCACTGAAGGCACAGAATAAAATTATCTTCCAACTACACAATAAAGAAAAGTTCCTCGAAAGCGTCCCTTTAAGCAAGGCACTGTCCCAAAAATATTGCTGCAGAGTGGGGGTATAAGTGAGGAATCATTCAGGTTCCTAGAGATGGAACATGGTGCAGCAAGCACCTCCATATGGAGGACCTCATGATGGAATTTCATTCCCTATACTGCATGACTAGTTTTACTCACTTTTATTGTTACAGGGATTGCTAGAACATCACATAGGTTAAGTGCTGGCTTATGTTGTGCCATGGCTTCTGTGACGGATAACTGAAGTGATAACCAGCTAAATAGAAGAATGTATTTTGTTTCACAGACCAGCAGAGTGTGGCATCCAGATGTTTCTCATATAAGTAAGAGTTAACTATTCTAATTGCCACCATGAAGCAACAGAGCATTGTCTTTTAAAAATAAAACCATAAAAACTATTAACAGCATTATATGGCACTGAGTCTAGAACTTTAACCCATTACCTTTTTGAAATAACTTTTTGAGATCTGCACGCAACTTTGCAAAATAGTCCTTTCTGCTAATCAATTCTTCAGAAGCAACAAGCAGAAAAATAATGATATTTTCCCCTTCTTTCCATTTGCCTTAATGTACATGACCAGAACTTGTGGCATCCATTACCTGCATCAGTTGACCCAGGGACAACTCTCCAAAAGCCTTGGTCCTGGTAGGCCAGAAAGCAGGTCTCAGAATCTTTAAAGCAGGGGTTCCCAAACCTTTTCAGCCATGAAGCCCCTTTTGAAGCAAAAGTTTACTGTGGAGCCCCAATAAATGTTATATATTATATTATTATATTATATTATATTAATTATATTATATTATATTATATCAGGTATGGGCTGGGCCAGTGGTGGGTGGATGGAGAATGTTTGTGTGAACTAATTCACACAGTGCAAATAATAATAATAATAATAATAAATACAATACTTAAAATAATTAACAATTTTAACTAACATAAATTTAACAATATTTCAGTGGAAGACCACCAGTCCAACTTCCTTCAGCCATGCAGGAAAAACTCAATCAAAGTACCCCCAACAGATGGCCATTCAACCTTTGTAATAGTAGTAGTAGTAGTAGTAGGAATCCCAGAGGAAGTGGGGTACCTGTGGAGATCCTGAGCCCCTCTTGCAGAGCCCGAAAGGATCTCTGGAGCACAGTTTGAGAACCGCTTCTTTAAAGGCTCTGTAGAGATATACTCTTCAACTTCTACAGATATACTCTAAGCGGACCCCACAAAGCCAGCAATGAAATTAGTTAGAAAGACTAAATACCTTGTATCCTGGCTTCCTCCCTCGCTTCTTTGGGATCTTCACAACTGGCAAAGAACCAACTGGTGCAGAATAAAGATTATGAACAGCCATTTTCATGGGAGCTGAATGCAGTGGGGGTCTTCCTCTTTTTCTACCTGGTATTCTGGGAGACTGCATGTCAACAGTGTCCAGCCCAGGAGGCAGTGATGGCAAATGATTCATAAGGAAAGGATCTGTAATGAAGGAAAGAGGCATTGTTCAAATAAAACAGAAAAATGCATACCCTTTGTCCTTTTTCCCAGAGGTGTCATTCATTATCTAGAAAATGACTTCTAAGTCAAGGGAGCAGTCGATCAGTAGATTCATTCTAGGATTTAGTCTGAACTTTATAAGAGTTAAACAAGATGGTGAGCCTATTTGGGGTATAATATTGAGAATCTTGTATAGGTCCTTGGGTTGATGTCTGAACTAAAACTCAAAGTAGATTAGTGCCCCTCTGATATAGTACTCATTAGCCACCATTAACCAGATGGTATATGTCTGCTATTTTAAATAACATTTATTGAAAGTAAACTGAAATGACAGGACATTCTTCTGAGTAGATATAGGATTGTGATGCACATGTTGTAACAGGGATTTTTTTGTTTGATTGTTTGTTTGTTTATTTATTTATGGCAATTTTGTATCACTTAGCCACCCAAGGGTAGAATTAATGCAATTTGATGCCATTTTAACTGTCACCAGTCAGTGCTATAGAACAGGCATGGGCAAACTTTGGCCCTCCAGGTGTTTTGGACTTCAACTCCCATAATTCCTAACAGCCTACCAATGTTAGTAATTCTGGGAGTTGCAGTCCAAAACACCTGGAGGGCCATAGTTTGTCCATGTCTGCTATAGAATCATGGGAGTTGTAGTTTGACAGGGCACCAGCACGATTTATCAGAAAAGACTAAGGACCTTGTAAAACTAAAATCCTGTCCAGGAAAGATCATACCTGATGTACCAATCAAAATGTGCTTCAAGCTCTCCAGTCCACCAAATTCAATTGGGCCCAAGTGACAAGTATGGATCTAGAATTACTTCAAGATTATAACCAGAGACGACCCTAGGTAATTTTCAACAGTAAGCAAACAGTATTTTGGCGCTCCCCTCCCCAAACCAATCACTGATATATATTTTCTGTTCGTCGTGGGAGTTCTGTGTGCCATATTTGGTTCATTTCCATCATTGGTGGAGTTCAGAATGCTCTTTGATTGTAGGTGAACTATACATCCCAGTAACTACAACTCGCATATGTCAAGGTCTATTTTCCCCCAAGAGTGCCTCTGGGCAAAATCAAGAGCGCCCCTGGGCAAAATCAACAGTCCTGCAAATGCTTACTTTGTGTAATGGGTTGAGCCACCTCTGATTATAACCCTGCTCCTTCAGGGAAAGATCAACCCCACCAAGGGCAAGCAACTTATCTAATTCCTGGAATCAAGAACCGGCAATTTACAGAGCCTCCATCTTATCAGGATTCAACTTCAATTTAGTTACCTACATCTAGGCCATTACAACATCCAGGGACTACTCCAGCACCTCTATAGCTCCAGCTCCAGCTCCAGCCAACTCCAATTATGAGAAGTAGAACTGAGTCTCATCAACACAGTGATGGCACTCAACCCCAACACTCCTAATGGCCGTTCCCAGCACCTTCACATAAAATTTAAACAGCATGGAAGACAAGAGTGAGTCTTGTGGCACCCCACAACACCATGGGAGGAGATTGAGCAGAGACCTCAATGGCCCCCAATGAAACCGAACTTGTAGACAGGAGTGGAACCACTATAGACCATGTCTCCCACTTCTGTCTGTCAGAACAGCCCCAGTAAGCTACCATGATTAATGGTATCAAAAACTGAGATCCAGGAGGATCTACAGAGCAGCACTTCATCCTTCTTCCCACCAGAGAAAGCCATCAATCAGAGCACCTAGACTTTTGTAGTATTGTACTCTGGCCTGACCAGACTGAAATGGGTCCAAATTATCTGTTTATTCAACAACAACAAAAAAACCCGAAGCTATCCCGTTACCACACGTTCAAGCACATTGCACAAATATGGGCTATCAATGATAAGGCAGTAGTTTACACCTCTGGGTTCTGCTTGAATGCAAAAAGCATTTGTTATCTCTTGGACCCACACAATTAGTCCACATTTGCAATAGCTTAAAAGCCAACATGGGCAAAGGCCAAAGTCATGTGATGGAATGGACATATTCAAGGGTCCATATCATAGGCTGAAACAACTGAAAATGATCCCAAGAAAATTGACCAGATGGTACACAGTATTATACAAAATAGTTTTTCTCTTTAAAAAGCATGCTGATCACAAAATTTAGGAAGTCAAACTAGCATTTTAAAAAAAAATCTGAAAGACTGATTGTTCACTCTTCAATATTCAAAGAAATCCATTCAACTCCTCAGTACATCTTCAGCATGGTGACATAGATAATGTTATGGTAATTTCTACAGTATTCATGATGACAGGCCCTAATACAGGTCACTCCACACCAGATAAGTATGGAAGAATTTCCTCTCTCCAGTGACAATATATAATGTGGTTAGGAAATCAGAAACTGCAGTATTTTCTTGGTGGAAAATGCTTAGGCCAGTAGCTTTGTTGCACTTTGTGTCACTCTGTAATAATCATTTGGAAAAGATTCAATTTCTGGATTAAAGACATGTCATAACTACAACTGTAACTTTGACTTTTTTGCTTACAGACATGGTCCATTATAATTTAGGACACTAAAATAAAATATAGAATGCATTTAAAATGCAAAGTATTGAATGAGTATAATGTTTCTGAAAAATATACCTAAAATGGCTAAAAATTACTAAAAGTGATATTTATAACTACTTTCCCTCCTATAACAAATGACAAACTACCCCTCATATTAAAATAAACATAGCTGCCAAAAAGTAGGTTTTTTTAAATGAAGAGGCTATTCTGTTCTTGCCATTTTATTTGTTTTGGTTACTTGGCTCTTAACCTTCTAGCAGTCAGAGGAAATTTAGCAACCTGTGCAGTAATGAAAGTATCCTAGTCTTTCCAGGAGTGGAAAAAAATCTGTTTCATAAAGATCAGGGAAAGCAGGCAAAATGTTTTGCCTTGGGAACATATACAGTGAGCAGGCTAATAAACAGCAGGAGACATCCTCAATTTCATCTGACTTACAGATGCAATATCTTTGGTACTACAGAGTGTTATTAAACCTCCCATCCAGAAAGGCAGTAGGCATACACTGGAGCGATAGAGCTGCAAATCATTTCCTTAAGGGGATTAAGAACATTTTCATGTGGCTGATAGCAATGTGGTTGGGTGCTCAGTTTGCTCCTATAACTCAGAATACTGTTGGTTCGGCTGTTGTGTCATATTAGAAGTGTACCTATTCAATGATGGAGCAATGCTTCCAAACTAGGCATTAACTGAGGAATTGCCACCTTTTTCCATTCAAATTTTATAGTATATCTACATCACTTATGGCCCTTCGGATATTTTTGACTGCAACTCCCAAAACATCTGGAGGACCAAAGATACCCTGCACCTGATCCATACAATGTTGTCCTAAAACCATTGCCCTTCTGTGCTTCCTTCATTATTCCTCAACCTCTGATGTAACTTCACAATGGCTCTGAGCACCAATGTGGCAGAACTTTCTCCTCCTCTTCTCTTTACTGCGTACTTCAGAACTACATAAAATGTGGCATCAGTGGGTTTCCTTGGTTTTTAAAATACCTTTTTGGGGATCTTTGCAGAATTTCCATAGAGAGAGGATATCCCCCCTGCGCATGCACCTACTTGCACTGACAATAACAGTTCTGTCAGTGGATGTTTTTGCTTTTTATTGATGTATATATTTTTATATATGGCATCAGGCATGTAGCCGGGGGGGGGGGGGCTTGAGGGGCTTCAGCCCCCCCCCCGAAATTCTCATGGTGGTTCACGAAAAGGCCTTACTGGTGCATTATTTAAACTGTTATGTTTATTCATATCATGATCTGATCACCATACTCAATATATCCCATATGCATGGGGGTATTGGGGTAATGATACAAAAGGTTTGCTAGGGTAGACCCTCTTTCACTCAGACTCAGCCCCCCTCCCCGCCCCCCCCACCCCCGAATCAAACTCAGCTCCCCCCCCCCCCCCGAAACAAAATCCTGGCTACGGGCCTGTATGGCATCTAATTGTTGCCAACTTGTACGCCGCCCTGAGTCACCTTTGGGCTGATATGGGCGGGATACAAATGTTGTAAATAAATAAATAAATAAATGTTCCCAGTTGGATTTAGGCTCTGACTCCTCTCCCTCAGATGAATATAATATTAACACTATCTCCGATTCGCACTTCTGTTTGATGTTTTATTTTATGTCTCATATAATAGGTTTCTTTAAATCAAATCTTAATTGGTTAAGTTACAATTTGCTTTATATGCTGTGTAGTTCTACTTTTGTTATTATGTGTGTATTAGCTGTTATGTTTAGGCATTGAATGTTTGCCTTTTTGTGATTGGAATCCACCCTGAGTCCCTCTGGGGAGATAGGGCAGAATATAAATAAAGTTTTATTATTATTATTACCCAACTTTTTAAGGAAGTATAGCTCTGAGTTCTCTATATGAGCTTATCATTCGCATCTATAAACTGGCATACTGCTGTATTACATTTCCTGCTAGCATCATTTTAGCTACATATCTTTGCAATCAGATATCAGTGTTATTGACTTGCTTATTCTTTGTATAAAAATGTAGTATTTCTCAAGCATTTTGACATAACTGTCTGCATATGTATATTTCAAGTCACCTGTTGACTTATGGCAACCCCATGCATTTCACAGGGTTCTGTTTAGCAAAGAATACTGAGAAGTGGTTTTGCCAATTCCTTCCTCTGAATAATTATACAAAGCTATTATTAGCTTACGGTTTACTCTTTTGGCTTTCACTCAAAACTCATGCTCTATTCACTTTTTTTGACTGACAGAGTTTTTGAATTTGACTTTTTTGTTCACAATCAAGTAACCTGCAATTATTAGACATTTCTATTTAAAAATTAATGAAAACATTTAGAAATGATTTAATACCATAAGTGAGGTCTATTCACCTGGATCCAGCTGTTCCTGGCTTTCCTGCTGCCCCCTATTCCCAAAATGCTGCATGACTAGCAGCCAGTGCCAACTCCCACTTTGTTACAT